TTGACTGGGAGATCGGGAGAAGAGGGGGGAAGGGAGCGGGACTGACCTGGGCACATGCAGACTTTACACACCCTGGCAGAGGAGTGAGTCTGCCTGGGGGTTCCATTTTGCCCCCCCCCCACATGCCCTCCCTCTGGTAGTTGCGAACTGCCTGACAGGTAGACACACTCAGGCAGCGTGAGCACATCTACTATCCAGGCAGTTTGCAGCTAAGGACTGATACACCTAATTATAATAAAACTATAATTAGAAAATACCAGACATTTTATATGTCTGGTAATTTCTCAATTTGTTTCTCAGACAAAACCCTCAAATACCAGATTGTCTGGTACAAAACTGGACACTTGGCAACCCTACTCTTCCTTGCACCCTCCCTCCTAGACAGGTACCCTACCCCCAGTCTGCTCCTGCTCCCACCTCCTGGAGTGCCAATGCAGCGCTGGGTCCCCCAAACCCTGGCCCAGGCTGGGCGGAGGATGCAGCCGGGTGAAAACTGAAAATTTATTCATTTTTCATTCCTTTTTTACGTGGAGATGGGGAAAGAGAGGACAAGCGGGTGGCGGAAGCAGGGTTGGAGGCAGTTGGGCTGTCCAGCAGAAATCGGGGAGGGCAGGCGGCAGAGCCAGGGCTGGACAAGGGGCTGGCCAGGGGAGAACAGGAGGACTTTTTTATATGTGTTTATGTTTTTGGGCTGCAAAAAACAGTACTAAAAAAACCGGGTTCCAACTAAAGTAAAAAGTTTGGGAAATCCTGGTCTAGCCAGCTTTCTATCCATCTTACCGTCTATTTATCCAATCCATATTCCCTTAACTTGCTGGCAAGAATATTGTGGGTGACTGTATCAAAAGCTTTGCTAATGCTGGCACTGGGGGCTTTGGGAGGACCAGAAACAACTTGTTTGAATATTCATAATTTGCTTAATGAATATGCAAATATGCAAATTAATGTTACTGGTCCTCCAAAAGCTAGTGAATGGATTTACTGGTCCCCGTGTCAAAAAGTTTGGGAACCCCTGGGCTAGTGGCTAGCATGTTGGACACCATGGGACTAGATCATCTGGTGGTTTCTTCTGGCCCTAAACTCTGTGTGGCAAATCAGTGCCCAGACCCCAGGAGAATTAAGATAATGCTTTTGCTACATGTTAAATTTTCACTGGCAGAGGCATGATACTCACTTGGATTGGGGCAGATTTCTTCTTTTCAAAGCTCAGTTTTCTCTCAATAAATGTTGCACTGCTGTTTTCTTTTACAAAATTTAGATTGTGAAACTCTTCCATCAACTGATTTTGCACTTCACAGATGCTTGAGGAAGACAGCTGCAGATAGGAAAAGGGACATTAGATCTCAGACACATTACATATAGTGGGAAAGTAAGGAACAGTATCTAGGGATCAAGCCCTGAGACTCGTGAAATCTGTTATTAATTATTATTATTATTATCGGTTTCTGGTAGTGCTCACAGAGAGCTAGGCATCATCAGGCAGATATAAAATAAGGCATGATCCCAGCTTCCTAAAGCTTAAAAACCATTGCTGCTAAGGGCTTGTCTTTACACAGAAGTGGTATCAGTTTAACTTAAATCAGTTTAAAAAGCAGTATCTATTTAACTCAATGTGATTTAAAGTGGTTGTGTTGCCCCTGTGGAGTTGGGTCTGTAGTTTTGGCACAGGCCCAACCCTAATTTTAAACATGATGTGAACTGTAAAACTCAAAAATGACACTATAGGTAAACCCCTAGTGAAAACAATGCCTGGTACAAGCAGCTTCCCCAAAGACATAAAGCCCTCTTTAATGGCATAGGGCTTGTTCACAGGAGGAAGTTCCACCAGGGTAGCTTAAAGTGAGAATTTATACTGATGTAAACTGGTGTGAACTGTTTGTTTTGGTTTAATTAAATCTGTTTTTTGATTGACTTAAACTGGAATAAGTCACGCTTATAACGAAATAAGTGTGTCTACACTGTCTTTTGCACTGGTTTGTTATATTATTGTAAAAGTCCATTCAAATGATACTGGTAAAAATTCCTCATGTAGATAAAACCCTCAAATTTACCTTAAACTGAAAATCTCTGTGTTGAATGCCTGTATGGATTCTCACTTTTAGCTTGACAGGAGTTGGGAAATAGCCTGATTCTCCCTAGTGCAGCACCAACAGAAATCTATATGGCTCATACAGGGACTGATGTGTTTTAAATGAATTGTTGTCCAGATGTCATTCAGAAGAACAAAGCTTCTTCGGAGTGTGGGGTGGTTGGCACAGTAGGGATACCCTTCAGACTCTCTTAGTCAAGGTGAGGATTCATTTCCTCTGGGGAGGCAGAGAGGAAATACAATAAAATTCTAGCATTGTTTGATATTCACCCCAATTCAGTCATTATAATTCAATGGAGTGTTGGATCCATGTCTTAAGAGTTGTGATTAACACTGTGTGTGAACAGAATGTTATGCAAACTGATACATTTTTGTTCCGCTCAGGTAGTCACTCTCTAAACGCGCCAAGGATTTAAAATGTTGTTGTAGCTAAACCAGAAAGCTGTTCCCAAAGGAGGTGTCTGCAGTAGGATTTTGTGACAACATTGCCATGCCATGGCTAACACCCCACAGCTCCACCAGCATTCGCAAAGCTGGGAGCACAGATGTAGAATGGATTCCCGTGGCTGCTGGCATTCTTCCTAGTGGGCTAGCTAACTTTGCTCAGGGCAGCAGCATGGGCGTCCAGTAGCTTAGGCAGGGGAAGGCTGTGCCTTCCCAAACTGCCAGGCATGGCCCCACCCACACTCCCCAGTGCTCCGGGGGGCCAGGGAGTTGGGAGTCACATGACCTCCTCCCTCTCTGGTGCTCTGGGGGCTGAGGAGGTGGGAGGTGCACAGCCTCCTCCCTCCCTGGTGCTCTGGGGGCCGGGCAGGTGGGAGCCACGCAGCTTCCTTCCTCCCTGTTCTCTGAGGGCTGGGAAGGCTGCAGTCATAGCAGGGCAGGCTGAGGCACGCATGGGCATGTGCCACCTCCCATTTCTTCCCCTCCCCATGGTGGTGCTGGGCTTTACAAGAGGGGGCAAGGCTGTAAGCAAGACTGGGGGCCTGCCTCCTCCAACCCCCGCTGCACCAACTACCCATGGGCAGCAGTAAATAATACAGGGGTTAAAAATGCTAGCCGCTGCCGACTCCTACCGTTGCTACTACTGGAGGAAAAGCAGCAGCAACACTGGAGACATTCTTGGGCCTGGGGGAGCTCAGAGGTGACAATGTGAAGGACATGAAATGTGAAAAAATATCCATGGTGATCATCAGAGTGGACAATAGGCATGTGGAGAGGGCGGTGTTGAAGTATGTAGGTTTTTAAGCATCCCTGGCTAAATACTATCCACACACTTGTAGCTTACCGGAACAGGCACCACAATGGTCGAGTATGATTGAAATGCTGAGCACATCATGTCCCTGAGGACTGTTATGAAGCAATGCAGACAGTTCATCACAATCTTCTTGGCTGTCCTGTTGAACACCTGAAGTTCCTCCACGAGCTGCGCGTTGAGAGCCTCATAGTCCTTCTTTGCCAGATCCAGTTCGTCTCCTGCAGTCCTTTGAAGGCAGCCATTGTAATCCAGCAGCTTGTCATAACGCTTCTGGATAAGCTTCTGGGGGCCTGGAAACAAGGCCTGTAGAGCCGAGAGAGGGGTTAAAACCAGCTTTTCCAGTTGGTCCACCTGGGAAGCAGAAAACAAAGTAAAAAATCAGTTCAACAAATAATATTTAATTCTCTCCTTTGTAGCACTTACAATTATGTTCTAAAACCAAAATGAAACTAATAATACTGCATTCAGCAATTTGTAGCATTAACTTTGCATTCCCAATTAAGCCCTAATTGCTAATTAAGTGTTAATTAAGCTCAAGAGCACCCCTATCAAAGAGCCTAGTAACAAATCTAACTGCACCCGGCTTTATTATTATCCTCTTAGGAAAACTGAGGCACAGACAAGTTAAATGGGCACAGAAAGGATGAGTTCTAGGGCTGGGATTAGACAACAGGAATGACTGACTCAAGTTCCCTGTGCTAGCCACTGTATTAATATTGCAAAGCAACACTGGGACTGGAACCTTTAAAGTGGAAAGGACCATCAGAGGCAAGAGGCAGTGCAGCCTCAATTATATGGCAGTATTTCCCACTGAATAAAATAAAAGAACAACCACTTTCCTGGAAATGGCTCTGAGAGCCTGATGATGCAAAATAAATGCGTACACAGACAGTCAGACATGATTTAATTAAAAGGCGGTATGCTTTCTTGTAAGGCTTCCTTTTGTTGACTGAAAGTGAGTCAAATTCATAGGGCTGGTGGCTAAATAAAATATTTTAAAAACCCCAACATACCTATGGAGGGCCAGGTGGCTCAAAGGATTAATATCACACTTAAAAATCATTTCAGCTACAAGTCATTAGATCACAGGCTGCTAGTGTCTGAAAGTCATTACCATCTAATGGCTGCTGGATAGTCCTTTGAAATAAATTATGCACTCAGACCACTAACAAAAAAAGTTTCCTACACAACACAAACCACTGCTGCAAAAGGCTACATTGTCCATCATCTCCAGAAGGGGTTCTTCCAGAGGAGGACTGATGTACAGTGATAGTTTCTTATTGGTATGGCCTTTGATATATCATTTTTCTGTGAACAAAGCTTTCCATTTTCATATGAAAAGCAGTCACCTATGACAAATGCTTAGATAAGTAATTTTTCAGCACCTTAAACAGTTGTTTATTGGGACTGTTGGTTCTGGAACAAAGAAAAGGAGAAGCTATTCTTGATTTGGCCCTAACTAAGGGTTGGGGAGATGATTCAATATTGACAAATGGAAGGTAATGCACACGGAAAGACATAAGTTAAACTTTTCAGCCCCATAACTGGGTTCTCCACTATAAGTACTCAGAGGGAAAAAAAACCCAAAAAAACCCATGAACAGCACAATGAAAAACTGTGCTCCTGGTGAATGGTGATCAAAAGTGCAAACAAAATGTTAGTCTGAATAACAAATTGTATTGAAAATATTGTAATTCAGGCATATAAATCAGTGATATGCCTTTCCTTGGAATACTGTGTGTATTCAGTTCTTGTCAGACTATCTTAAAATAGATATAATAGTAATAGAAGTAGTTTCAAGACAGTCAACAAAAATGATTACAGGCATAGAAAAACTTCCATATAAGGAGACATTGTAAAGGCTAGGACTGTTTAGTTTTCAAAGGAAATGAATATAAGGGAACATGATTCAGATATGCAAAATAATGAATGGGATGGAAAAGGTAAATCAAGCACTTCCATTTACCTGGTCTCACAATATAAAAGCAAGAGGATATATAAAGTGAAAGGCAGCTGTTTCAAACTCATTAAAAGGAAATGCCCTTTTACCTAATGCATAATTAATCTGTGGAACACATTGCTGAAGATATCCTTGTTGCCAAGCTCTTAGTAGGATTAAAAGAAAGATAATATATCTTTATGGTTATTGTAAGCATTTATGTTACAGTAGATACGATTAAAAAAAAAAAAAGAAGAGAGAAACTTTTCTGTTTCTGGTCACAGGCCCAACAGAGATTAGACAGAAACTTCCCTTATGCACACGTTATTGCATACTTGTCCACTGAGGAGATTCTTGTGCCTTCTTCTGAAGTACCTCATACCACTTTTGCAAAATCCTACTCCCTCAATGGATCATTGTGATGAGCCAAAAGGGCAAATCATGTGTCCCTTAGCTCACTATGTTCATTTTATTTATTTTTAAAAATATATTTTCAAATGATGCAATTATTTTAAATGGTGGAATTTGAAAGGAAGTAGAATTGCAATTATGGAGTCAGTTTTGGTGGTTTGGTTTTGGAATGGAACAGCTTGTCTAGTTTGTCTTTCATTAGTTGGGATGGAGTGATCTGTCACAGGGCTGTCTACACTTCAGAGAAGATCAAAGCTACCACAATTGATCTTCTGGGGTTCGAATTAGCAGGTCCTAGTGAACACACGCTAATTTGAACTGAGAGAGCACTCTCATCGGTGCTGGTAGTCCTGTTCCTATGAGGAGTAAGGGCAGTCGAAGAGAGAGTGTGCTCCCGTTGACTTCCCGCTGTGTGGATGGTGTCAAAATGTGATTTAAGATACTTTGATTCCAGCTACATAATTAATGTAGCTGGAGTGGTGCTGGTAGTCCTGTTCCTATGAGGAGTAAGGGCAGTCGAAGAGAGAGTGTGCTCCCGTTGACTTCCCGCTGTGTGGATGGTGTCAAAATGTGATTTAAGATACTTTGATTCCAGCTACATAATTAATGTAGCTGGAGTTGAGTATCTTAATTCAAACTTATCTGCTAGTGTAGACCTAACATGAAAGGCTGTGTCTAGACTGCAGCCCTTTTCCGTAAAAGGGATGCAAATTAGACACATCACAATTGCAAATGAAGCGGGGATTTAAATCCTCCCCCCTCTTTATTTGCATAATCAGGGCTGCCGCTTTTTTCCGGCTCGGAGCTTTGCCGGAAAAAAGCGCCAGTCTAGACGGGGATCTTTCGGAAAATAAAGCCTTTTCCGAAAGATCCCTTATTCCTCTTTAAAAAAGGCTTTATTTTCCGAAAGATCCCCGTCTAGACTGGCGCTTTTTTCCGGCAAAGCTCCGAGCCGGAAAAAAGCGGCAGCCATGATTATGCAAATAAAGAGGGGGGAGGATTTAAATCCCCGCTTCATTTGCAATTGTGATGTGTCTAATTTGCATCCCTTTTACAGAAAAGGGATGCAGTCTAGACACAGCCAAAGTGTTTGTTGTTAGTACAGAGACTCTGTTTTGAGTTAGGTGGAAAAATACTAGTGGGCTAAGCCAAAGGAGATATAAAATTTGCCTATGGCCAAAAGAGTTAGTTTAGCTTGAGAGCCTGGTTCAGGCAGACATTTGCCCTGACTTGAAAGATGCACTCCAGACTGAAACTTAACTTGTATAGCCAGTCCCAGGAGTACTTTTTGGTTTTGGTGGGTTTTTTTAATGTAAGGATTTGTGTTTTCAGTCTTTCTCTGTAACCACTAGGGACAGAACTATAGGTAAGAAAAAGGTAACAATACAGGAAATATAGGTAAGAAAAAGGTAACAATACAGGAAAAGAAAAGCTGCAATTCATATGATTCCAGGTGCTGGGGCTTTATGTGAACATCAGTTTCCATAAGACTAATGATAAAATTGTGTGAGTTGGCATCACTGCTAGTTTAAGGAGTGACCTGATCCATTTTACACTGAACTGAAACTTACAAAGGAATTTTTGTAACTTAAATTATCTTATTTCCCACAGAAACTTGTAAAAGCTATATTTTTCTCATGCTCTTTTCCCTTCATTGTATCTGTATGTATGACCCATACATGCTGCTAGCTGTGTGATATTGGCATGTTTCATGAACTTACAAAGCCTTCCCGAGGGTTTCCAATGTTATTTGGCATTTTTGAACAGCCATTGCCTTCATCATCTTTGTTGTGTAAAATACCTTGTAGTTCAGTTATATTCTGTGCCGCTAGAAGCATGGAATCCTAGAAAGGAATAAAGTCAGACAATTAACTTTGAGAATTTGCTGCAATACAGGATACTTGTTCATGCAAACTCTGCAATAATATTCATTTGAACCATAGGCTTTTTCCATTGCTTACATCTCTTTAGTTATCTAGTCCATCTCTTACCAGTGTAAGGTTTTTTTCCTATGATATATTATCCTAAGTTTTGTCCAACTGTGTTGTATATTTCTCAAGGAACAGGTTTATCACCATTCACTCTATCAGATTATTCCACGCCATTAGGGATCAATCAGAAAACACTGCATTTTTAATCTATGTATGCAGTGCTTTTTTGAGTATTACATGATACTGTGAGAAGTGTGTGTGAAAGAGTTCACATATATGGTTTATGTGTACCTAGCTCACATAAGTGCATGTGTGTGGTATACTCACCTGCAGATGTTGAAGGGAGAATGAAATATTCTTCACACAAAATTTCACAGTCTTTTCTAAACTTCTGAATAGTTTTTCTTCCTTATTGAAGGTCTGGTCTTTCACCTGAAATAGATGTTTACATGATGGTTATGGTAGCAATGAAAGGTTTGGCTAAACAAAGGAATGGCCAAAGATCTGCTAGAAAAATCTAAAAAAAAGACCACACATTCCACTCCTTAAAGCTGGATCACTGTACTTCAGTAACTTTTCCAAACCCACCTACCATTATCAGGTTGAGAAAGAGGAAAAATCAAGGATACTGGAATGTGTATGATAAAGATTTTGAATTTTGTAGAGCACTGAGAAAGCACAATTATTTTATTTATTTATTTTGCAGTTACATCTATGTTTATCAATCAACCCTTCCCTTTTGTTGATGACCAAATTTGGGCAAAAAATGATAGGTAATACCTGTGTCTTTTCACATCCTAACAGTGCTTCCTCCAGTGCTCACTAAGACCATATCTACACTGCTGGGGGGTTTTCGGAAAAAGATACGCAAATTGCAAACTGCAATTTGTGGATCTTTTACCACTTGTTTTTTCAGAACAGGCTTTCCCAACATTTGGCCCATTTACATGTCCTCTTTTGGAACATCCCTTATTCCTCATAAAATGAGGAACACAGGGAAGCTGAAAGAACGCACCTGCTTTTTCGGTAACTGTTCTGAAAAAGCGGACGCGTTCCCTGGCCGTGGCGGAGTTTTTTTCTGGAATACCGCCGTCTAGACATAGCCTTAAGCAGTTGTGGGTGGCTACTGCCTATGCAGAAATAAGGATGTTGCCATTATTTCTTTAGCACAGTGCATCCCTGTACATGGTACAGTTCCACTATCTGCAAAGGGTTGTTTTAGTTCTTTGTGGTGTCTAAAGAAGGCCTCGATAGTTTCTCAGTTCTTTTCTACTTGCTTTTCCCCTTAGAAATATGAGAAATGTCACATCTAGCATTTACTGTTTTTGCAGTCGGAATCATTGAAAGATTCAGAGATGTGCATTATGAGCTTTCTCAACCTCTAATTATACGAGAAGGGGTGCCGAATCTTTAACAAAAATGTCTTTTTTCCTAAGCAATTCTCAGATTTTTAGAATTCAGCAAGTGTTAACAAAAGCAAATAGGAAATAGGAAGGTCTAACAGACTGAATAAAAATAATTTCCCCAGGATTTCACTGCATGGTTATCACTGATTTAATAACATTATTAATCCTCCAGTCTACCATTGGGCCTTCTAGGAAAAACAGAAGTATTTCTCTTGTAAAATTTCTAATTAAAAAAAAAGAGATGTTGAGGGTGGAAATAACTGGGAAGGGAGAAACGTCTCCTCAAAAGGAAGGAAACAGAAAAAAGGCATACCCCTGCAGGTAACTTTTGAAATGTTCTTGTGTAAGCAACCATAGTAAAGTATACAGGGTACAATGTTCAAAAGCAACTCACTCATTAACTTTCATTGAGACACAGGCTCCTAAGAACCTGATATAATTTTGAAAATGGGGCTGGAGGGCAAAGAATTAAAGCACTTCTTTATAATTTGATTGCCTTAATTAGGTTATTTATTGTGATAACATTTTCCAAGCACCTAACTCACTTAGGAGGCTAAGTTCCATTTTCAAAAGTATCTTAGGCACTTAAGAGCCTATGTCTCAGTGAAAGTCAGTGGCACTTAGCCTCTTAAATAGCTTAGGTGCTTTTGATTTCCCTCCCCACAATAATTATTTAGTTATGGCAATGGAACAATAAAGTAGTGTTTTAATTCTTTGCATTCAACATACTGCAGCCTTTTTTTATTAAAAACGTATAATCATCTAATCATTTTGACAGTCAAAGGTTCTTATGTATGTAAGGGAAAACTAACTGCCCATATTAATCAGCATATAACTTTTGTTTGGTGGTCTCGGTGGGCCAGAGTCTGAATGATGCTGAATAAAATGCACAGAAAATGCCCTCTGTAACTATCCCACAGCAATAATATCTTCTACCAACCATCTATTGAGGGGTGGTCTCTGTATTCATTGTGATGAAAACTACTGATCAGTACCTCTTTGCAGCTGGTCAGAGGTCTGCAGAGAAGGCCAGATCCAAAAGAAAAGGTGGAGAACACAATGAAAAGTTTTCCTTTCAATCTAGGGTCATAATATCTTTTAATCTTTGATATGACACACAGGAAATCACGAGAAACACCATATAACAAGTGACATTATGAAGTCCTCAGTGAAAATTTGAAATGGCAAAGTACCTGTGGTTCTCCTCCTGTCAGAATTTTCAGGTGGCTAGTAACCCTCTTGGATTTCTTGCTAATGGAGTGAATATTCAATCTGCATAACTTCTCTTTAAGAGATTCTTCTTCATCATTCTTCTTATACTTCAACACTGCAGACAGAGAGAATTTCACAAAACTAATAATCTGTATTCATAGGGCTGTAACATAGCTCTGTACTTTAAGGCTATGTCTAGACTGTCCCCTCTTGCATAAGAGAATATGCAAATGAGGTGAAGCGGTGAATCTCTCTGCGCCTCATTTGCATACACACTTGCATACAAACATGGCTCCTTTTTGCGCAAACCCCCCCTCTTGCGAAGAGCCATTCTGCCACTTTTTTTCAGGCAGAATGGTTCTTGTGCAAGAATGGGGTTTTGCGCAAGACGGAGCAGTATAGATGGCTCCTTCTTGCGCAAAAGTCCCTTGCGCAAAAATGGCAGCTCATTAAGTATGCAAATGAGGCACAGTGATATTCATCACTGCACGTCATTTTCATATGTTCTTGCACAAGTCTGGGCAGTGTAGACATTGCCTTAGTGTTTGACATAGCATCACTGAGGTTATATAAAGTATTGTATACAATACTACATTGTATTAATTTTCACGTTTTGAAGTCTACATCCTTAATGATCCAACCTGGGTATTTATTTTTAAGTTTGAAACTACAATGTAGTCTATACACCAGTTTTGCTTCTCAGAACCCAACGGCTGCATCTAGACTGGCATGATTTTGCGGAAATACTTTAACGGAAAAGTTTTTCCATTAAAAGTATTCCCTCAAAAGAGCGTCTAGATTGGCACAGATGCTTTTGCGCAAAAAGTGCTTTTGCACAAAAGCATCCGTGCCCAGTATAAATGCGCTTTTGCGCAAGAAAGCTCTGATGGCCATTTTAGCCATCGGGCTTTCTTGCGCAAAAAATTAAGGTGCCTGTCTACACTGGCCCTCTTGCACAAGTATTCTTACGCAAGAGGGCTTATCCCTGAGCGGGAGCATCAAAGTATTTGCACAAGAAGCACTGAATTCTTACATTAGAACATCAGTGCTCTTGCACAAATTCAAGCGGCCAGTGTAGACAGCTAGCAAGTTTTTGTGCAAAATCTTGCCAGCCTAGACACACCCACGATGTTCTGTAGCTGGGATAAAGCCACTATTTGTGGTAACATAACAGGAGCTGAAACCATCTCTCATCATCACCAGCCTAAATCTGTAATATAGAAATACAATTAGTAGGAGAAAGAAATATACCGTCTCTGTTCCCTACCTAAATCTTTCCTTCTTTTAAGTTCATTGATGTTCACATTAATGTCTTTCACAGCAGCGAAGGCGTCTTGCAGTGCCTTGTGGTCAGGGTGAGAAGCAGGAGTCGAATTCAAGAGCTCACATAGTAACAAAGGGTATTTCATCACACGCTGTATTGGTTTGATCATCAGGGATCCCATGTCCATTAAATTTGATTTTCCTCTATTATTTGAACAAACAGACAGAACTGTCATGTAAGATGGCAACTCCCCTGAAGAAAAAAATACGTGAGTCCTCTCTAGTCACTGTTATCTTTTTAATTTTCTGTTGAGTTTTTAACTACTGAAAATGACAAAACTAGCATTAAGTTTTGCATTCAGTTACGCAGGTACAATTCCCATTTAAATTGAAAGATTACAAGACACGTTCAGTGGGGAGTCTGGGTTGGGGTAAATTGAAAACTCTTTCCGCTCCCTCAGCATGAAAGTTACACCAGCTTATACTTCCTTAAGTCATATCCACTTATCAGCATATAATTTCTACATGATCTCTGAATTTAGCCTCTTGACTCTACAGGAGTCTGATGGTAAACTTTATACACCAAGTAGCTGGGAGAGAGAGAGATACAGCAGGAAAAATAACTAACCAAATGAAAGTATTAAAGTAAGTATATTACACCTGATCTTAGCCTTGAACTGGGTTTGGCACCTTACAGGGAAAGTGACAGCAGCTCAGAGTTCCTTTTTTACACCCACTGTACCTTATACCTCTAAGCTTATCTCTGTAACCACAGTACTTTGTCTTTCCACCACAGAAGTGAAAGGGTCGATACTATATCTAGTAATGGGCAAACTTGAAAAGGATTCAAAATTTGGTCTGGTTTCTCCAGTTTGGAACTTTACCCTAGGCTTACCCAAACCATCTGGTCCCATCCTATCCTGCTGTGACTCCTGCCTTCCCCACAAAAGCCATCTCCACTTCCAGGCCAGACCCCAGTGCACCTCCAGCTCTGGGTAGTCCCTGCTTCTCACCACCTGTTGGGGCCCACCTGTCTCCCCAGAGCTCAGCCTCCTGGGACTGGTATAGAATCCTAGCAATCTTGGCCAGGCTTGGCCAATTGAATGGGATCATAGACTCATAGGGTATGTCTACACTACCCCGCTAGTTCGAACTAGTGGGGTAATGTAGGCATACCGCACTTGCAAATGAAGCCCGGGATTTGAATTTCCCGGGCTTCATTTGCATAAACTGGGCACCGCCATTTTTAAATCCCTGCTCGTTCGAACCCCGTGCCGCGCAGCTACACGTGGCACGAACTAGGTAGTTTGGACTAGGCTTCCTAGTCCGAACTACCGTTACTCCTCATTCCACAAGGAATATGGTGATCAAATATGGTGATCAGCTAAATCCTGAGCATGTGGGCAAGACTCACCAGCCAGACACCAGCCAGATCGGGGGAGGGGAGCTTGGCTGGGCCCCTCCAGGCAACCCTGAAAGAACCTGCTGGGGGCAGGCCCTGGCCTGGCTGATGGCATCACTCCTGAGGGGCCAAAGCAGTTCCTTGGCCCTGGACCAGCCCTGGCTGCACTGGTACTTCAGACTGGCAGACACTGTCACCTCTCAGCAGGCTGGTGAATGCAGCCAGGAAGCAGAGCATGGGTGAGTGGGTCTCTGGAGAGCCTGGTGGGGGTGGGGGCTGGTTTGTGAGGGGGAAAGGAAGATCTGAGGGAATGGTTTGTGAGTATACTGGACAGTTGTGGTGGGGTTGTAGACAGGGTGCAGGGCAGGGCTGATGTGCAGGGTGCAGAATGGGTCTGGTAATCAATGAGGGATTTCCAGAGTTGGGCAGGAAGCTGCATAGTGTGACATGCCCAATCCCGAGGGGAAGGGATAATTTGGCAGTACAGGGCTAGGTGGCCATTGTGCATCTGGCAACTGCTGGTTTGTAAACAGTGCCCTCAAGTTGGATGGGCAGAGCAGAGCCACCCTTGCCATGACATGCCCCTGGCCAGCTCCCTGCTCCCGGGATCGGTCTCCCTGTGCCATGCTCCATTGCCCCCATGGGAGCTCACAAATATGTTTGGCACCTGGCCCACAAAAGGTTAATGCAGTCCTGTCTGCAGCAGCTGAGTAAAAAGGGTTTGTCTGTCTCTTCACATGAGAGACAAAACCATGTATAAACTGCTGAGGACCTTCTTGTAGGTCTGTACTTTAAAGGTGGGGGTGAGCTATTGATAATAGTGTGAAAAAGACAAGAACCTTGCCTGTAATGCAGTTTTTCTCGACAGAGCAATGCTTCCATTACACCCTGAGAAAAGAGTTTCTTGAAGGAAAAATTTCCTGTGATATTAACTATATGAGTTTTAATAAAGAGGTGAACCAGAATGTGTGAGCATGGGTGAAAGGAAGGAAGGAAGGAAGGAAGGAAGGAAGGAAGGAAGGAAGGAAGGAAAACTTTTGCTTCCACTTAAAATATACTGGAGCACTGTTGACTAATTAAGTTATGATTTGGATGCTTTGGAAAAGAGACATCTGCATATTTGAGCCATCACTCACTCACAGACACCAAATATAAAAAGTCCTGCATGAAAAAAAGGAGTTTTAACAGTAAATGCTTTTTAAAGCCTCTTGATGTCCCAAAACCTTTTAATCATTTCTCTTTTCTTTTTCTCTTCCTCCTCCCTCCTCCTCCCCCTCCCCCCCAATCCATCCTTCATCAAATATAAAGCTGTTTTTCCTTCTTTCAGCATCTGGCAGCAGGGTTTTCACTGAAAAGCCCCATGAATGCAAATCTTTTAAAAGCTGCCTCATGAATGGAAATCTTCAAGTGTCTTCTCTCCATACAGTTGCACTTTGGACAGCCGCCCAAGTGATAAACAGCCCTCTGTTCACATATCTGCATGACACAGTCTAGCAATATGGTTTGAAAGATAGTAGGTTTGTTAGGAGATGATGACTCCCTGCGGCAAAAAAATGCCACAAAGTTCAACTCATCTAATTCTACTCAGTAAGATTATTTTGTGATAACTACTCTCCCTAGAATAGTCCCGTTTCTAATACCCCCCGTTAGAATACACTGCAACCAATCAGAACACTGCCTTGGCACACAATTTAAACAGATATGTAACGACTTCTGACTTCTTTTATGCAAAAAAATAAGCTGATAATTCATTTGTAATGCTACTGCAGCCACCCAGTCATATCAAGAATTTAGCAAGTATTTTAGTGCTGAAGTAGCTGCACTAATCTCATTGCAAATCGCTGTTGCTTTGCAGTCATGTAAACACAGCTGGTTTAATTGCATCCGAGTCGAGTGCACACCCTCCATACAGCATACATCAAAATTAAGTCAGATGGAGAAGTGGGGGGCATGCACATGTACATCTAAATAGTCATGGTGGCAAACTATGAAAAATATACTATTTGGTGTTAAGTCTGGCTTACTCTCTTTATGAAATATATAATTCCATTGTACAACATCCTAGTGGAAAACATGTTCAGGTCGAGTTAGGGTTATGTTAAATTTGACAGCTTTTATTGCTGTGTGTGTTTGTCATAACTTGTAATGTTCCTTAAACATTATTTTTGTGTGTGCAAATTCCCTGTTTCACAAAATCTATTGGGCAAATAAATCACTGGTCTATATTCTATTGTCACTAACACCCATGCAAACCTAATGAACTCAATGAGCTAGCACGTGTAGAAGTGAGGGCAGAAAATGGCTATATTTGATTGACCATCCAACAGATGGCTAAGTGCAGCAAGGTTTCATACTGAAGACAATGTTTTCCCTATTACACTACTCTGTAAAACAGTCTGTAGCCTCACAGTTCCAGTGACCTCAGAGATGCTTGGAGTAAATAACAGTGTACTTTCTAAATCAGGATAAACCAGTTATGTAGGGCAGGAATGGAAAAAGCAGCAATGGATCCCATTGAGACATTCCTTCTATTTACAGGTGTACAGACTTTATGTCCAGAAGGGACCATTATGACTATTTAGTCTGATCTCCTGTACATTACAGGACACAGAACCACCTTCCCATTGCTACAAGACAAAGGCTCGTTGATGGCTTTTAACCAGAAAGGAATGACATGACACCCCAGGAGAAGGTATTTGCAGA